CGACGACGACGACGACGACGACGACGACGACGACGAGAGAGAGAGAGAGAGAGAGAGAGAGAGAGAGAGAGAGAGAGAGAGGATCTGGAATCGAGTAGAGTCCCGTATGCGAGGAGGTTCGTATACCGGACGAGCGGCTGTGTCAGTGAAGAGACTGACAATGATGGATGACTACGCGTGATGCGTGTGAGTCAAACCCCGTGCGCGGCTGGCTGGCACGAGACGAGAGCTCATATGCGGACCTCCCGTCCGATCGACGAGAGCCCCGACCGAACTGTTGCTATCGCGTTGCATCTGTGCAGAACAGCCCCAGATACGCCGACCCCTCGCCGATCGACCATCCCCTTCCTGTGTCCCCGCAACCACTCCTCGTCGCACCCTTCTGTCGTCGGCTAATTCCTCCACGCTATTAACTTTTTCTCAACGATGGAAATGCCGCCCTAAGGGAGAGGGAAAAAAAAAAAAAAGAAGAAGAAGAAGAAGAAGAAAAGCGGAAAACGAAAGGGGAATCGAAAGCACTTTCGAAAGCGAGGCCAAGAGTTTTTTCTCCGCTTCGAGGAGGAGGAAGAGGAAGGGAAAGGGAGGGATTCGTCTTCGTGGATTTTTGGAACGCTTTGCTCGTCTCCAAGCGGAAGAAGGGAAGGGAAAGAATTTTATTGCGTTGTGTATGGTTGACGATTGGAGATGAGTGGATGTTGTGGAATAATGTGACAGACGAGTTGTTGAAGGTGAGAAACAGAGGGAGAGAATGAACGAGATGGAATTGGTTTGGTGAAAGTTCTTTTCTTTTTTTTTTAATTTGGAATTAGAAGAAAGAAAAGAAGAAGGAGTATTAGTTATAATCCCTACTAGTTTTTTTGAATTTTTACTTTTCTACTTTTTGAAAATAAAAGAGAGGTTGTCAAACCAATTATACTTTTTTAAAAAGTAAACATTCAAAAAGGGGGACTAATTATTTTCCCCTATGCGCTTTACTTCTGTATCTTTTAAAACAAAGACAGCAATTTGAAAGAAGAAACGAAATACATTAATTAATTTCTACTAGTTTTTTTGAATTTTTACTTTTGCATTTGTTTGAAAACAACAAACAGAGAGATTATAACCAGTCATATTTTTTAAAGTAGCAGGAAGACTAGCTATCATATTTTTCTCTATGTTTCTTAAATTTTTACTTTTGTATACTATTTCAATATAAGAGAGAGGTTGTACGAAATGGAAATAATTCGAAACGAGTGAAAGTTCTTTCTTTTTTAAAAAATGGCAAGATGGCAAAAAATATCCTTTACAAGAATATAATAACCAAACTACTTATTATTATTGTA